TGCGCTGCCTGGTTTTCCACTCATTGAGGGGTTTGTAATAACTTTGGATTTTGTCCCTTGTGAGGTGACACCCTAAAGATCATTTCTTTTTCTCTGGTTCCAAGTTTTAAGGCATTTTGGAATATGTCTTATCATCATGCTGGAGGTCAAAGCAAGAAATAAAATGCTACGGGGCAGGTGGATTTTTTTATTTTCCTGGATGAGATTAATTTTTTTTTTAAAAAAAGCTTATCTTAGTAGGAGGGAAAGCCTTGCTTTAAGGAGTTATCTCAAAAGGAGAAAGAGGCTTATAAGAGAAAGCAATTTTAACAACAGTAGTTTTGTCCTTAACAGTAAACAGCTACGCAAGTCCAAAGTGAGTGTTTGACTATTGAGAAGCCCAGCATCATGACCCTGGGCAGTGTACACAAACTATCTATGTGCATGCAGAGAAGAAGTGAGTTCCCATTTAATGTTTATGAGAGCTTGTGTACCTGCTGACAATAATCCTATTTAGAGCATAATCTGCTTATGTAAAAACATTACTTCATTTGAAAGCTATCATTGATTTTAAAGGTTAGTCAAATGGTTTGCTCTAAACTGGGTCACAATCTGCTTTGTCCGCCAAATTCCCAGATTCTCTCTTCCTTTTATTTGGCAGATTAATCCCGTCTTAGCAGTGCCTTTAGGGAATACAACTTACAAATGTCTGATATCTCTGATCTTGTGGGTTGCGACAAATTTTAATTTGTTCTACTAGTGCATCTGTGCGTAAACAGCTAAAGATTTATAGTTGTTTTTAACTTAAGGATAAGGAAATGGACCACTCTGGACTAATTAAAAATAACTCAGTAAATGCAGGAGCTAACTTGTTAAATGCCAGGGCACCGAGTGTTCTGTCATCTAAATTGGGTAATTTATATCTTTGTCACTTGGAGATCTGATATATATTTGAGTCAGTGAGTCATCCCATTTATAGGCCATAACTAAAGCAAATTTCGTTTCCTTTTCACAGGTTGGGTTTTATTCAATTGAATAATAAATCATCCTGCCTTGTCCTGAAGCGTGAGACCTCATTAAAAGAGTGGCTCTTGATTATACTTCATGATACTTTTCAGTCTTTGAAAAATACCACGTGGCTGTTTTTTATGTTTTTGTTTTTTAAATATGTTCGGTTTATCACTGAGAGTGATCTTAAGTCTCAGAATCAGGAGTGAGGCAACTTCTCAATGATCCCCAATATACTTGTCAGTGGCTACTGATGGTCCTACAGTGACCAAGTGTGTGAAATAGCCCTCTCCTTTAAAAAAGAACTGTACAAACACAGTTTACGAGAGGCATTCACATCCTTTCTCTTTTGAATCTCACAATAACCCTATAATATGTACCAAATCCAAAAGAAAATCCATTGCTATCAATTCCAGCTCCTCATAGACGTCCATATAGGATGGATTGCAGATTGCCACATCTTTCTTTCACATTGAAGCTGATGGCTTCAAACGACCCACCTTGGGGTCATCAGAGGTGACCTAAACCCCTTGTGCCACTAGACTTATTCAATCTTATCTTTGGATTAGAAATTCAGATGCAAAGAGGTTAAGTGAATTACACAAGCTCTCTGTGGCTAGTGAGTGGAATCATCATGATTTGGATTGCATGTTTTCTTCATAAGGATCGTATTCTCTGCACTGTCCACTTTGCTGCCTCTTTGGTATGCTGATGGAATAGTGTGCCGTAAACATGCACTAAAATGCTTTTCCAGAAACCTGTCCCTGGGGGATAGCTTAGTTGATGAACTTGAGCCCATGGTGGGAGCAGATCCTTGGGTAGAACAAATGGTATACACTCGACGATTAACTGAAAAGCTGGCAGTTCAAACCGGCCCAGTGGTAACATGGAACAAAGGCATGGGTGATGGAATTCCAACTTTCTACTTCTGGGAGACTTTATGGAGCAGTTCTATTTTGTAACACATGAGATTGCCGTGAGTTGGGATCTGCTTGGCAGCCAAGGGTCTGGTTTCTTTTTTTGTAATCTTCTGAATAGAAGAAAGTAGAGAGAAGGATCCAGATTTCAGCAGCATGAGTTAGACGGGAGTTATGGACACCGTGCACCATCCAGGTCTGAGATGGAATTCCTTGCCTTCTAACTGTGAGGGGTCAGAAGCCTCTATTTTAAGAAGCATGCTAAGTGAGGAAGTCACAAGAAGCAAATAATTCACTTGTTTCAGTGACACTAATTGGCCAGTGCAGGGTAAAATGGGCTGCGAAGACAGGAATTCTGTGTGTCTGCCTTGGTTATCTTGGGTTTCTATAAGAGAAATGCCACATGTGGGTGGCTTTAACAAACACATTTATTTTCTTACAGCTGAGGAGGCTAGAAATCCAAAGGGTGCCCATTCAAAGGGAAGGCTTTGTCTCAGTGCCAGCTCTGGAGGGAGGCCCTTATCTCTGCAGCTTCTGTTCCCTGGGTCCTTGGAGAGCTCCAGGTGCCTCAGCATCCACCTTATCCCATCTCTCACTCTTTGTCTCTCTGCTTGCTTGTTTAATCTCCTTTCTGCTTCAAAAGGCATTGACTCAAAATATACTGCATACTGATTCAGTCTCATTAATACAACAGAGAACCTATTCCCAAATGGGATTAGAAACTCAAGCATAGAGGTTAGGATTTGTGGCACATATTTTGAGGGTGCATCATTTAATCTGTAACAGTGACTTAGAGCCAAGAATGGGTCACAGGGGTGTTTGCAATGAGTACCACGAGGTGTGAAGTCAGAACAAGTTAGGTAGGAAAAGAACTCTTCTGGCAGAGTCAAGGAGCCATTCCAGGGTTCCTTATCAAGATAAGAGAGAAAGAAAGCCTGTGTGACTGGCTTGGTTCTGTTAACAGCTAATGTCAAGAGGGTGGTTTATGAAGCAAAACAGTTAACCCTCAGATACCGCATTCTATGTGCCAGACACGGTTCTGTCCCTAACACGAAACCGCCTTATTTTCTATTAAAATCTGCTGGGATTTCCCATCATTACTGATTTCTTATAGAGGCAGCTAGCTCCTTGTTTGTCATAACGATTCTTGTGAAGTCTCCTGGGGGGAAGCCTTTGAAAACTTGCAAGCTGGTGAAGAGAATCCATATTTCTGCATGGGTCTAAGTCATGGCCACTGAGAGCAGAAGACTGAAGTGCAGGTGTGAATTCTTTTTTTTTCATTTTTAAAAATTTTTAAAATCATTTTATTAGGGGCTCATACAACTCTTATCACAATCCCTACATACATCAATTGTGTAAAGCACATTTGTACATTCATTGCCCTCATCATTCTCAAACATTTGCTCTCCACCTAAGCCCCTGGCATTAGCT